GAGACCACTGCTACTTGTTCTGTCATCTGCCACCACTGAGAACAGTCTAGCTCCATCCTTTTTCAAACCCTTGCCTCTTGCCTATTTCCTGCACCAGTGAGGGGTACAACCTCACTCAAACGCTATTTCTACAGCGGCAGTTCAGGAGGCGGGGGAGAAACGGGCACCACTCCCCGCTGCCAAGTGGCCGGGCCAGCGGGGACCGCCGCGCTAGGCAGCCGGGTCCCGACACTGGGAGCAGCAGGCGGCGAAGGGCGAGGCTGAAGCTGGGGCTGGGGCGGCGCCGCCAAGTCCGCGCAGGCTCCGCCGCGTCTTGCCCCGCACCGGGCGCAGCCTTTGTCCGGCGGGGCCGCGCCGCCGCCTCCCACGCCGCGGCGAGGAGACTGGTCCTCGCACGGGACCCGCGGGCAGCACCATGGGGTAGAATCCCCCCTCCCCTTGCCCGCCCCCCCGCGGCGCCGCGCTGTGGTACCGACCTGCCGCCCTGCTCGTCCTGCTACGAGCGCCGTCTGAGCCGGCTGCAAAGGGAAGCTGAAGCCCCGCCCCTCCCCGCGCGGCGTGTTCGAACCGCGAGGGGGGGGCTCCCGGCAGCCTTTGCGGTGGCTCCTCACCCACACAACGCGGGGAGTCGGGGCGCTGCTGGGGGAGGGCCGCGGTGTTCCTCAGCCCGTCTCCGGGCCGGGGTCGTGCCTGGGGCTTCTACTACAGGGCTGGCACCACGTGGCCTTCCTCTGCCCCACACGGCAGGGAGCAGCAAGCAGAGCGACAGACAGGGCGGGAGCAGGGGATCGGTCAGGGCGCGACCTATGACTCGCCTGCCAAAAAGGTGCCCCCCTGTGCAGGGGAGGCCGGGGGTGCCTGCCCTGGGGTCTTTCGTAGGTAGTTGTGTCCTGCCGAGACATGGGGGCATCAGTGGAGCATAGGTCTTTACGAAGGGGGTAGGAGTTGGGCAGCAGCAGGAGGGGCACCAATGGTTTCAGTGACCTGAGGAGGTCTGGAAAGTACTGGCAGGTGGCTGCGTGCTCGCCAGCCTCAATTTATGTGCCTGGGAGACTTTGCTGGTGGAAATGGGCGCTTGTAGCACTTCTAGGGTGTTAAGGTGTCTCTAGTATTAGACAGGGCCTTTTGAGGATGTTGTTCTGGACATGAGTGCATAAAGGGGGTGTTAAATACTGACATTCCCCTTGTGGACCTGGCCTGTAATTGTCCAGGGGGCAGGGTGTGGAGTTAGTTCAGGGGCAGGCAATTATTTTGGGTGGAGGGACACTTACAGAATTTTGGCAAGCCATCGAGGGCCACATGACAGGCAGCCCAGGGCAGATAAATATTAATTTTCTAAATTTTTTAGCGTCCCCATGGGCCAAATAGAATGCGGCTCCCAGGCCGCATTTTGCCCATCCCCAAGTTAGTTTTACTCTATTGATATCCCGGCTGAGTAATCCTGGTGGGATACGGAGTTGGGGGGAGAGAATCCAAAGTGGAAGAGGAGGGGTGTGAAGAAGCAGGGGAAAGAAAGCAATGATGCAAAACAAGAGATTTACGAGGAGAAAGGGGAACAAATCAATTAATGGTAGCAGGATCAGGTCTTGTGTGTCTGTGATAAAACTGTAGAAACTGCCGTGCTCGCTTGAAAGAGTTTTGAGATCGAAGGCATTTCGCTGGACAAAAATGCCAAAAGTGAGGCTGGTTTGTAATGACGCTGGTGTTTGTTTTTCAGTGTTCCTGCTTCAGGTTTGCTTTACAGGATTAGAAGCTCAAAGACTGAGTGATAGTGAGCTCAGGTGTGCTAATGCCTCTTCGGAGCACAGGTAGGTCTGCTGTTTCAAAAGCGTAACAACTTTTCCAGTAAATGTATATACAAGTGAATAAATGCATGAAATCTTGAGGTTATAAAACAATATGACCAACTATCAAGGTGAGGCTGAAATACAAAGTTCAGATTTAGTTGTTTTCATTTGCCTGGGATACAAGGGTCTAACAAATTTAGGGTCGGGAACTAAGGACACTGAAATCTAATCCTGACTCGAGGACTGACTGGCTGTATGGCCTAGACCAGGGGTGTCAAACATACAACCTGTGGACTGGATCCATGCTGCAGAGCTGGGTCATTCGGCCTGCAGATTTTGCCCAGACTCTAGTTGCAATAGAGGATCTTCTTGCAGTGGCAGCCAAGCACCTGGGCAAGAGTCATGGTGCTGGAGCTGCAGCAGCATTGTGGGAAGAAGCTGGATGCTGTGGTTTGTTCAGGCAACAGGTGCCAAGAAGCCAGCTCTTTCCTGTGTGCTTGGCTGCAGCTGCAGGAAGAAACCATAGTGCTCCTGGGGCTTCAGCACCACACACGCTTCTTGCTTGCTTGGCTGCCAAGCACCCAGGTGAGAACAGCAGTGTTAGAGCCCTAGTATCACCCTGGGAAGAAGCCTTATGCCACAGTTTGTTTTCAGGGTGGCAGGCAAACGCCAGGGTGGTGGGCCTCTTTCTGCTTGGTTCAAGATGGGTGCCACAGGTGCTAGATCCAACATGGGGTGATGGATCCTGATCTGGTCTATGGACCAGACCCATACCATGCATCTTTCAGATGAGTTTGACACCCCTGGCCTAGACTAATCATTTACACTCTTCATTTCACTTGTGAAACATATTTATATACTTTCCAGTATTGGTGGGAGAATGCCTAATTATAGTTTGGCTCATTGTTTTTGTAGGTAAGTTATTAGTGTTCTGTAAGCAGAATGTTATAGAATGATCTGAGGCCTCCCTTTAGACTAAGCCCTTTCTGGTGCGCTGATAGTGGAACAAGCCTAACAGCTTCCACAACTTGATTCTTCATGCAGTTGATGTGAAAACAAGTTCTCTTCCTGATCCTGGGAATGTAAGGGGATTGTAACGTTAAAAGGAATTTTATGGCAAAGCTGAGCGTTAATCTTGAATGTGACTACCGTTATTCATTAAGTGGAGTATATGCTCAATATATGCAACAGATCAACCTTAGAAATGCGCACTTGTTTATTGAAAATGAAAGCCCAAACCAAAAACCATTTTTATATTTACATATTTAATATAGTGCTACAAGTTAGTTTCTCACTGCCTGAGGACAGATGAAGAGAAAATGGGAAGAAAAACTGAAGAAGATTGAAGAACTAGAATCTCAATATAAAAGAAACCCACTTTGCTCAGCTTATAGGCCAAAGCTGTCCAAACCATGGCAACCATCCTCTGTTTGGAAAATATTTCCTCGACAAGCTCAAGCTTTTGACTATGTAAAAACCTGCAAAGAGGTGAGGCATCAGATTGTTACAAGAATTACTTTACTATTGAGATACTTTGAAGGTTTGAATTGGCTTTTAAAGTTGTGATAATCTACAAAGTAAATCTCAAGCTATAGGATTCTTATTGTGCAATCCTGGTACATCGTGTTACTTGAATCCTCAAAGGACAGCATGGGACATCCAGGGATCTTAACTGTAATAAGCATGATGTCTAATGTTAGACTAGAGCACGGGCAGGCAGTTATTTCGGGCGGAGGGTCTGCTTAGAGAGCCCCATGGGTTGCCCCGCCCCCTGGTAGGTGCCCCACTATCTTGGGACTGGAAGTCCCACTCCGTAACCCCTTACCTTTGCCACAGAGGTCCCTCTGCTTGCCCCCAGAAATACTCCTTTCAGCAAGGGGTTTTGCCACTTCAGAACCAGAAAAATACCCAATTATATTTTAAAAATCAAACCTCTACAACATTCTTTAATTTGATTTTAAAAAAATATTTTTGTCCTGATTTACATGTGTTTGTGTAGTGTACATAGAGGTGATTATACAATAGCTTAAAATGAAGCCTTACTACTGTATATTGTGGGGGGAGGTGGGGAGCATGGGGGTGGGTATAGGTTGGAAGGCTGTTGGTATGTGGGGTGTGGGGAGGGTATGGGTGTGTATGTGTGGTGGTTTTGTGGGGGGGTGGATAGGTGTACAGAAAAGCAGTTCTAAACGGGGGGTATGTGTAGCCTCATTAGGGGGTACATGAGAGATATTTCATACATTGTCTAACATGGGTTGAAGGGCCTAAAAAAAATAATTGCCCATTGAAAGGGGGTACGTGAAGTCTCACTCTGAGACCAGGGGGTATGTTGACTGAAAAAGGTCCAGAACCACTGGTGTAGAGGCTGTGGGGTGAGGGAGCATGTGGGTGTGTGGGGGGCGGTTCGTGGGGGCCTTTGGAGGGAGGAGTGTGGGGGTGGGTTTCTGCATGTATGGCAATGCGAGAGGGTGTGGGTACATGTGTGTTTGTGGGACTTGCCCTATGAACACTCTCTCTCTCTCTCCCCCTCCCTCATTGCATGGACACTTCCCCCCCCCACCTGCTCCTGGCCCCCAGGTATCAGCACAGCCCCATGGTCCTGTGGTTCAGTGATTCAGCCCAGGGCCACGTGGTGCTGGAGCAGGCACACAGGAAAGCAGTGAAAGCCAGGGCAAGCAGAGGCTTCTGGTTGTGGGGAGGAAGGAGGAGGCTGGGGTGGGGAAGGAGGGGGCTTGGTGGGCAGGGCCGGGCCGGCCTTGTTCCTGACTCCTGCTGGCTTCCCCTGGGTCCTACTGCCCCTGTCTCCTGTCATCTTTGACAGGCAGCCAGGAGCGGGTAAATATTAATTTTCTAAACATTTTAGGTGCCCTGTGAGCCAGGTTGAATGGCCTGGTGAGCCAAATGTGGCCTGTGGGCCGTATTTTGCCTGCCCCTGCTTTAGAGGACATTTAACTTCTGATAGTGGAGGGGCTTGTTAGTGAAAAGACAGGACTGGCAAATGATGTTGATGAAGGAAAAAGCAAGTGATAACAGGAAAAAGGTCAAAAAAGACAAATAATATAGACGGAAGAAGAAAACAAGTCAGAAAACAAAAGACACAGAGACCAGAAAATTGCACAAAGGAGGGCACCTCGTTACTGACAGACCAGAGACAGTACCTCTGGAAAAACAAGGTGGGACACAAGTTGAAATAAGAGCCAAATCACCTGAAATAAACCTCTTCCAAAGTTTTTAACTCCATTTATTTATAACTGTGTTTCAGATTTTGTGAAATAATTGTCTTTTTTTTAAACCAAATGTTTATGAAAACAAAGTCAACCAAAAAATTAAAACAAAACACAAACAGCATAGGGCAGTTCCTCATAAATTTCAGTGGACACTTCCATTTGATGATATAAAATGACTTCTACCAAAAAATATTGTAGGCCTCTGCTAGATGTAAAGAAAACCTAGAATAATTGAAACCAAATGACTACCTTGATGTCTCCTAGTATAACAAGGACAGGATGAAGGAAAATAAACTGTAGGCTGTTGTTCATTCTGTGGTTAGTTGCTTGTTGTGGTTGTCTTTCCCCTGGCCTCTTCCCTTCAGGTTTCATATATTGTTGCAATGAAAATTATTCACTAGTCTGGAGTGCAGTGTTCTATTGTAATCCTTCTAAAAGTGTGGTTGCTAAAACATATTCTTCTGCCTTATAAAATGTGCCATAAAGTTGTTCATCAGAGTTAGTGACTTAAGTTGTTTCCCAAATGCTTCCTAAATATACTCATTTAATCATTCAGTTTTCCAGTGTTGAAGCAAATTACCATACCCATGCATTTATGACCATACCTATGCAAATTACCATACCTATATATTTATTATATAAATATAAACTTTAAAGTTGAATTGGTAAAGTTATCAAACACAGTCATTGGAGGAATAGCAACAATTATACATTTGCTTAATTGAAAAAGCTAGGAGCATTTTAACACAATATATTATAACACACTCAGTTCATCTTGTTTGTATTAGAACTGTATTTTGATAAATCTCACAGAATAACAGGGAAAAATTACTAAAGAACCCATCCTGCAATTGCCTCCATCTTATGAGGAGGCATATTGACTCTCAGCTTTTGCACAGGGTAGGGAGGTCTGCAGGATCAGAGCCTAAATAACAATGCAGGGGAAACGATGCAAAGTGAGCTACTGTATTTACTCACCTACCACATGCTCCTTTTTCCTCCTCCAAAATGGGTGTGTGTATCTTAAGCAAGGAAGCTGATTTTAATTTGTTAGAAACAGGGTGGAATAGAGCAAGCAGGCACTATGACTCATTGTCACCAGGGGGGTTGTTACTTCTTGCATCTGCAAACAGCAGGGTCAGAATCTAGTGTTAACCCTCTCAAAGCTGTTGGTGAGGCAGTAGCTTTTGGCTAAAGAGCTTTTGAGCTGGCTGAGGGTGGGTGAGCTGCTGCATGCAGTCTAGTATCTTGAGGCTTATGCAGAAGTAATACTTATTATTTACAGGAACTTATATAGAGAACTACCTACAGTAAAGAAGTAACAGTCTTGCTGCTGCCCTTGCAAGAGTCTAGGGCCCAGCCTTGTTGCTGTCCTGGCACATTAGGAAGTCCCTGTTACCTTACCCTGACTCTCTCCTGGGATGCTGCACTTCCTGGACTCTGTGACTGTGTCACAGTTGGGCATGACTCTGGAAAAATCTTTTTTTTTTTTTTTACATTGTGCCTTCCAAAAACAAAGTGTATATTGTATTTGAGGCTATGTAGCAAATGAGAAAATACAGTATTTGAACCAGAAGTGATGGTAACCAACACTTAAGAAGTCATAGGTCTCACCAAAGAAGTCAACTATCAAGTTAAAAGAAATTGAAACTTGGGATACTTGGGTTCAGTTCCCTGTTTTAGCACAAGACTCCCACCATAACTTTTGCATGAGTCATGTGGGCCTAAGTTCCTTTGTGACTCTTAGTTATCTTTATGCTTCAGTTTTCTGTAAAATAGAGAAACTGCACTTCCAACCTTAGGATTATTGTGATGGTAAATGCAGTAAAAGATAGTGGTATTGGGTTCTTATAAATACCTCATTATCCAAAATTATGGTTATGACAAAGCACTTGACCTAATCACTGCCAGTATGTTAGCATTTCTTTCTCTTCAGGTTACCTGTAGTTTTATACATAATATATAATAAAAAGATGGCTTGTACATTATTATACTTGGCTGAGAGCTATATACTTCTATCTCTTAATGTACAGTGCTCTTTTCTATAGATGATTGCCTTCTCACTGGTGGTATTTGCTATAGATCAAAGTTACTAAAGATATACAATACCACTTCAGCCTCATTTTTGATATGTTATCAAAGATTTGCACTGATGTTAACTTTACTGATGAGTGGGCTTCTCCAGACTTATACTGCTATAACTGAAGTCAGAATGCAGTTCTTGCATAGCAGCAAGTTCTACTGTTTTAATTTAAAACAATCATTTGGTAGGTTTTTAATAAATAGAAACTTAGTGTCTCAGATGAAGGGTTAGTAAATAATTTCAATGAGACCATTTTGACGACAAAGTATTTTGAAACAAAAGGACAGTTTACTTTTTTCCTTTTTTTTTTTAAATCTTGAAAAGGAAGTGCATGTATTTGCTTTGGAAAAGAACACTGAAGACGGACAAAGGTTTTACCTTGTGACAACATATATTGAGCTTTGGTTCTATTATAAGTAAGTATTTGATAAGCACCTCTCAGCTGCTCTGTGCTTTGCTGGGGATGGAGTAGGTGCAGTCTGGCCTTTAGAAGCATGATTTTGTCACTGAGGGAGACAGTATCAGGTAGCCTCGTGTGCCAAGCAGAACTTGACTGCAAAAGAGAATCTGCTTTTGTGGAGGGGGTAAAAAAACATCATTTTAGAATGTCAAGAGATGACATAACTTATGCCTCCATAAATAAACAACTTAAATAGCACTTTTCATAGAAATGTATCACATAATTAATTTCTGGTTTTGTCTTTTGCTATAGAAATCTCAAAGTCAACTTAATTACATGTGGTAAATACAATTTGTTAAATATTAGCAGCAATATCTGATTACTGAGAGAATTCTCAAAGTCCAATATTCCTTTTATTGAAGCTATTAACATCATTGTGTGTGGAAGCGGGGGTGTCCCCTCAGTTCAGACATCAACATTTAATTGCATCTACTTTTCTTTTATGTGAAAGTCATTTATTTTGCTTTCAGGTTCTCAGTGCTTTCTATTTGCATTGTAAATCATCTCAGGGATATTTCTGTGTTTCTAAATTAGTTTCCATAAATCTTTTAATTCATTAGCACATTTATGTCCTCAGTACTATAGATTTTGTGTTTGTAACTTATAGGATGCTGCCAATAAGTATTTGTTAAGGTTTCTAGTCTCAAAATACATATAGGAAGTTGTACAGGACATAATAGGACCATTCTTTCCAAAAGTATTTTCTAATTCTTTTTTTCTTACTTTGCTAAGGAGGAATATGTTAGATTTTTAATATGTTAAATCAGAGGTTTCAGATGTATGCCATGTGGGCCTGATTTGGCCCATGGAGCTGCTCTATCCACCCTGCTCTGCTAATAGCAGGAAGTTGGGGGCATGGCTGGATGGGAGTGGCCCGCCCAAGAATCTAGGGCCCTTGCGCCCTGGTGGGCATATCATTGGCTTTGCTTGTTGCCACTGCTGCAGTCTTCCCTCCACAGCTGCTGATCTCTTTGCTGCCCTGTGCAGGAGCTGCTGTGGTGGCATGGGACACGTGGCCATGGCAACAGCTCTGGGTTCAGCAAGGGGCATATAGCGGGAGCTGTGCTGCATGTCGTGGGTTGGAGCCACAGCTCTGATTGCCACCGTCACTACAAGGCCCAAGCTAGTACTTAGGGTTCTTTCAGTCCAGAAGGAGCCCTGTGGCCCAGATCTAACCCAGGGAACAAAGTGAGTTTAGCGCTGTTTTAGATGATTGTTTATTGTTCATGAACATGTATAATAAATCCTGAAACTTTTTCTCTGTCTTTTTTTTTTTTACTTGGCAGAGGTCAGAAATCAAGTTTGTTTCATTGTTATGAAGTAATTCGTGAGAAAGCTGTTTGCAAACTTTATTTTGATTTGGAGTTCTATAAACCAGGGAATCCAGGCACTGATGGCAAAATGATGGTTGCACAGTTAATTGAGGTAAAGATGAAACAGATATTACAACATAATATAGGTCTCTATATTAGTTACTGGCCATAAGATGGAAACTAAAAAAAAAAGTGAACTTTTTGTTTCAAGTATATCATGGCTGCAGTTATTCAAATAGAATAATACTTAAAAAAAGATTTCACATTTAGTGGATATTGAGGATAGCACCTTAAGCTCTGAGGTAGTACTGGCTTATTAGGGATTTCAGTGGAGTTGTGAAATTCACTTTAGAAGCAATAGTATGAGACACTATCCTAGGCTTTTTAGGAGAAACTGGAAGTTTGTTGCCCAGTAGTATCCTAATATTACACCTGTTGGTTTATGAGGTGTGATGTGTGTTGTGTTTATTTTAGCTATCTGAGCTATGAAATCTGAGTCTGATCCAAAAGGAAGAAAATCTGTGCTCACAACTGAAACTGATGAGCTCTTAAATGAAGACAAAAATCTGTAGTTAGGCCAGGATTTATAGACACCTTTTTCTAGCATTTTACAGAAATAAAATCTAACTGTGTTTTATATTTTTCAGCTTTTTTGTAAAAATCTTGAAGAACATTATGGAGTTAAATGTTCTGCTAATGATGTCTTGAACTTAGATTCCAGCACTGATGAAAAATTCAGCCATCATTTAATATTTTTACTCCATAAGACAGCATTTAAGGATAATATACATGTTGGTATGTATGTTTCTTCCTTCTATGAGAAATAAAATGCATGTTTGTATCTTTACTGTACAGGCAGACACTTTAATGGTGGAAGGATCATAAAAGAAAACAAATGTTCATTTCCAGTTAGGATAACTAATTTTACTTATGTTTCATTATGCTTTGACTCGTCTTCTGCTTATGTTTTTTGTTAGTTTTCTGTGACTAGACCTCTAGTTTAATTTAGAATAGACACATTCTAAATTCAAAAGTTTTATATACTATATGTACAGGTTTCACTCGATTTATGCTGTACATGCGTTCGTGGGGCACGGCACAGGCCAGTGGCTGGAAGTAGGCAGCGTCCACCACTCTCAGGGCTGCAGCAGGGGCAGGCAGTCGCTTGCAGCCAAACAAGAGCAGGCTGGGACCAGCTCAAGTCTGCAGCGGCTGCTGGCCCCAGCCTGCTCTTGTTCTGCTTCAGCCCTGGGAGTGGTGGATGCCCCCTGCTTGTAGTTGCTGGGCTGTGCTGTGCCCCAAACAGTCTGGGGCACCGTGCCCTGCACCCCGGTGCGGTGGAGCCCAGCAGCTGCAAGCAGGTGTCTGCTGCTTGCTCCCAGGGCTGTAGCAGGGGCAGGCAGCCACCTGCAGCCAGATGAGAGCAGGCTGGTGCTGGTGGCTGCTGCAGGCTCAGGGGCTCCAGGTTCTTCCTGGTGCTCTGCCTGTCTCCACCCCAGCCCTGGCTGCAGCAGCCCCGGGAGCAGCCGGAGCCAGCTGTCTGCACCAGGGCACAGTGCAGCCCAGCAGCTACAGGGAGCTGGCATCAGCAGCTCCCAGGAACGCTGCACAGGAGCTAGGGTGAGTGGGGACAGGCAGAGCACTGGAGGGCTCGGGGCATGGCGTAGCCCAGTGGCTGATGGCAGCTGGTGCTGGCAGCTCCTGGGGCTGCTGCACCTGGGGTGAGTGCCACCCCCACTTACCACCCAGGGCTCCGCTTGTCCGCACTCACTCCAGCTGGTCCTGGGAACAGCCGACAGGGGAACATATCCCAATTTTTTGCATTATAAAGTAGGTTTACTTTATGCGAACTAGATTTATGTGGCATTCTCCAGGCCTGTGCTGATCACATATATGCAAATTTGCCTTGCATATAATGAATTTCGGGTACAAAAGGGTCATCACATAAGAGCAAATTCGAATAATTTGAACCTGCATAAATTGAGGGAAACCTGTACTAAAACATCACTGAGCCTGGTTACAAATTAGATAACTCATTTGGTAACGCGCTTTCTGGCGGGGGGTTGTTTTTTTAATAAACTAAATTAAGCTTTATTGGTCAAAATCTTAAATCCCCATACACTATGCTCAGCAGAAGACTTGTGGGACAGAACACAGGTGCCTTAAAGCCTTTTTCTTAAATCTTTAGCATATAGAGAGTGGAGGGAAGCTATTTTGGGCCTTAATGTAAATTGGAAGGGCTGCTGAGCTACAAAAAGCACAGTCTTTATGCTAGTCCAAGTTTCCTAAGTGTAAGTAGGGCTTCATTTGTAATTTTAAAGCAGATTTCTGGGTGCTTTATACTGTTGGAACAACACAGATCGCCCAGCCCAGGGACCATTGATGTGGTCCCAAATATCTTTATACAACTTCAGTGTGGTTAATTAAAATTATTTCTCAGAATCATAAAAATTTACTCAGTGACTGAACATTTTGTATAGAAATAACTTTTAGAAACTGTTTACCTGGCATGCTGCTGTGGTATCTTCAGCTATTCTGCTTAACATATATATGGCAGCTTGGGTCCATGTACAGTGCTGGAATTATAATGTATTTACAGAACAATGAAATCAGAATAAATTGGAAATTAAGAATGTCCTGAGTATAGTTGTAACTGAATGCAAGTGATTGTGTAATAGTGTTTATTTACAGAGGTACTGTTCAACTATATAAAAGTTGTAAAAATGTATTGTAGATATAAGTAAATATATACATATTTTTCCAACTTTTAAATGATTGAACACTGTAAACAAAGACTATTATATGTATACAGAAGGGACAGATTTGTAGATTGGATTTGTGCTCAATTTTTGGCAGTTTTAAATCTTCATGGGTAACTGCACACAACTGTTGGAGAAAAAATCTGGTTACAAAGTGAAACAATTTGGAAAATACTAGGATTAAGGTTACACATGTATTATGTTATGATACTGCTTATTTACACATGTAACTGTTTGTTCCATGTGATCCCTTTGTTATATAGTGCACAGAAAGGTCCTCCTCTAGAGTTTAATTAGAATTTTGTAGCAAAAGAGGTGACTGGCTATGGGATGGCACCTCCCCTTGTTTGTAGAAATGGGAAGACAGGCTCTGACACAGAGGAGATTACAGGACGTGGAGGGAGTCATTGCAATTTAAAACTTGGCTGGAGAAACGACTGCCACAGTTTCTGTGCGGTGATAAGTCTAGTTTAAGTGACTTGATTCTCAGAGATGTTGACTGCTCTTACTTATCTGGGTGCCTTGACATTTGGTCAGTAGACTCCCCCATGCCAGAAGGCATATCCACAGTACAAAGGCTACCCTAGGGCAGATTTTAAGTTTGTCCCCCAAAAGTATGGGTTCCCTGGAGTTCAGAAAAATGGGACTTTCCTAACATAGTTCAGCTGTCCTGAAAACCTTCCAACCCTCTGAGGTTTAAGTCAAAAGGCCGTCTCTACGGTGCCTCTCTGCCCTAACTGGTTCAGATGGCACAAGTTTTTGCAGACAACAGGCTATTTTGTCAGATGTTAGACTGACGATGCTTATGCCTCTCTGAACTCTAAGCATTTACAGTCTAAGGCTGCGTCCAGATGAGCATGGACATTTGTTTCCTTGGGGAGAAGTTTACTTGTCCCCAGGGCGCACCTATGCCATGTGTGCTCTGGCATGTGGTAGGTTACCCCAGGTGGGGTAGGGGAGTTCATAGATTCATAGATGCTGGGGTTGGAAGGAACCTCAACTGATCATCAAGTCCAACCCCCTGCCTAGGCAGGAAAGAGTGCTGGGGTCAGACGACCCCAGCCAGACGTTTATCCAGCCTTCTCTTAAAGACCCCCAAGGTAGGGGAGAGTACCACCTCCCTTGGAAGCCCATTCCAAATTTTTGCTACCCTTACTGTGAAGAAGTTTTTCCTGATATCTAGCTTAAATCTGCTCTCTGTCAGTTTGTGCCATTGTTCCTTGTTACCCCAAGAGGCGCCCTGGTGAACAGAGCATCTCTGATCCCTTAATGTGTTCCCCTACTGAAATTGTAGGCGGCCACAAGATCACTTCTCAGCCTTCTTTTGTGAAGGCTGAAGAGGTCCAGGTCCCTCAGTTTCTCCTCATAGGCCTTGTCCTGTAAGCCTCTAACCATATGAGTGGCCATCCTCTGGATCCTCTCAAGTCTATCAACATCCTTCTTGAAGTACGGGTGCCCAAAACTAGATGCAGTACTCCAACTGCGGTCTGACCAATGCTGCATAGAAGTATCACCTTGGTTCTATTTGTCATGCATCTGCTGATGCATGATAAAGTGCGGTTAGCTTTGATGATGATTTCATCACGCTGACGGCTCATGTTCATCTTGGAGTCCACTGTGACTCTGAGATCCCTTTCTGCTTCTGTGCTGCTGAGAGGGTCACATCTCAGCCAGTAGGTGTGCTGGATATTTTTGTACCCTTGGTGCAGCACTCTGCATTTGTCCTTGTTTTGTACTGCAACCTATTGTGTACTGCCCACTTCTCCAACCTGTTCAGGTCTGCCTGCAATCATTCCCTACCCTCCGGAGTGTGTACTTCACCCCACAATTTAGTATCATCCACAAACTTGGACAGAGTACACCCACATCCAAGTCACTGATGAAGATATTGAAGAGTACAGGTCCAAGGACCGAACCCTGTGGGACCCCACTACCCACATCCTTCCAGGTCGATACCGATCCGTCTACTACCACTCTCTGGGTGTGACCACTAAGTCAATTTGCCACCCACCAGACCATGTAGACATCTGCGTCACAGCCTCTTAATTTATTCATGAGCAGGTTACCCTGGGTGGGGTAGGGGAGTTCATGTTAAAGGACTTCAAATTAAGCAATGTCCTGAAATGTGAAAAACAGAAGACCCCTTTTCTTAAACCTTATAAGCCTTATGAGGAAAGGAATCAAATTCACAGCCAGCTAAGCACATACAGTCTCATTTATGTCAGGTAACTTAGTTTAATTCATGCCAATGATAAATATGGTTCAAAGAACACTGGAGAATCAGTTGAGAAATATGGGGTGATTCTAACACGAAGTGATTACAATCTGATTAGAGAAACAGAAAGAAAGAGGGTGGAGATGGGTATGAATAATACAGAAACTAAATCTAATTTTCTCTTCTAGTCTGCTAGGAAAGCACTTCTTGCTGTTGATCCTGTATATGCCACTGCTACTAACCAAAGGCAGGAAATGGGGAGGAGGAGGACTCTTCTGTATTTTAGCCCCAGTAGCTGAAACGTTCAGGCACTTGCCCAGAAAACAAGAGACCTAATTCAGGAGCAGCTTGAATTTGTCTCTCTCTGACTTCCCAGCACAGTGCTTTAACATTGCAGGTTAGATATTATTCAGCTCTTCTTTTGAAGCTGACCACCTGGGGCCCTGGGCAACTGGAAGAGGGAGATGTATAGGACAAGGAGGAACAAGGAGATCTAGCTGGAGGGTCTGTGGCTCAATAGGATGGATCTACTGTGGAAAGGAGCCGGTCCTGGACCTTTGCTCTCAACGGGGTGGACACGTCCCCACTGCTCTCCATCCATTTTATCCAATATTATTAAATACATGATTTGGTGGTTCAGCTTCAAAAGGAATGTTGGAGAGGGAACTAGAAAATACCTGACCTGTGCTCTGGTGGTTTGAGTGCTGTGAGGTTCAAATGTTCTGGATAAGAGAAAACTAGGCTCTCCCACTTCCTGGAGAAGTGCCTAACCACATGGTTATTGGGGTTAAAGTATGGGAGGGTTGCCCCCCACCTGCTATCTTTTTTCCTTTTGTGGTGGCCATGTACCTTCTTGACTAGTGTGTAGCCTACTGAGTATGTGCAGTAGCCATGTGAACACCTATGTTTTGCTGGAAATAAAATCACAAACTGCACTGATGACAAAAAAGGCCACTTGTGCCGCTGGAAAACTGCCTTTTAGGTGGACAAAGTTTCTCCCCTAAGCATCTGATCCTGCATTGATGTGAACTATCCTAGCAACTTTACTAGTTGCTTACATTCACAAGTGTTAACAGAATCAGACTTCCAAGTGACTAAGAATGTGGAATGCTGCTTGTGCTTATTGGGGATCCCTAATGGAGTATGCCCCCAGGGGCAGCTGTGATGCCCCTGGAGGTCACACAACACCCATCCTCCTACTCCAGTTCCCCTTTACTCTCCCTTGGCCTCACCTCACCTGTCACACCCTGATGTTTAAGTTTATAAATAAATATGTATATTAGGTGGTGTCATGTTCCATCCACCCTGCTCATTATCAGATTGCCAGTCTACAATCCTTATACCCTAGACTGGGCTTCTGTCTCTGTCTCTCTGTCATCTGGGCCCCCTGGCTCTGTCTCACTTGAACAGCGGGGGTGGGTATAGGTTTGTGGGTATGTGGGGTGAGGAAGCATGTGGGTGTGTGGATATGTGGAGTGTAGGTGGGTATGGGGTTTGTGGGGAGATGTGTGTGGGGGGGGAAGGTGGCTGGGGTATGAGGGGTTGTGGGTCTGGGGGCCTGCATATATGGCAGTGCAAGGGTGGGTACGTGTGTATGGTGGAGTGTGTGTGTGGGACTGTCCCTATGAACAAACGCACACACACAGTCTCTCCCTCCCTTATTGCTCTTTCTCTGTGTCTGTCTTTCTCTGTTTCTCTCCCCCCTCCCCCTGCCACTGCAGGGATGCATACATATACACACCCTCCTGTTCCTGGCTCTGGGGTACCAGTGTGGGCCCTGTGCTTCGGTGATGCAGCGGGGGGCCACATGGGGCTGGAATGGCCAGCAAGCATGCGGGGAAGCAGTGAAAGCTGTGGCAGGCATAGGCTTCTGGTTGGGGAGGGGGCTGGACGTGGGGCTGTGCTGGCCTGGTTCCTGACTCCTGCCAGCTTCCCCTGGGTCCTACTGCCCCTGGCTCCTGTCATCTTTGACAGGCAGCCAGGAGCAGATAAATATGGTTATGGTTAGATGAAGCTACAATGATAGCACTATAGTCTTCCTCCTTGAAATATGTTGATCATTTGACTACTGCCTCAGAAGAAATAGACTTCAGTAGGCCAGCATGTGCTTGCACTTGTTTTCCAAATATAGTACTACTTAGTTTACTGTTTTAAAATACTATAACCAAAATGTGTGCAATCCTTTTAAATATTGTTCTTGTGGTTTTTACAAACAAACTTCAGTCTCTGTTAGAGTTAATGCCAAAACTTGGATTTTCAGTGCTTTTGGATTTCAGGTGTGGTTGGGCATTGACATAGTCTATGAAGAGCAGAAAGACACTATGCTGCACCTTCCATTTAAAATTCTTTGCACAAAAGATGAAATGTATTTTTGTTGAACCAATAAGACTCTGATATATATCTTTTCTTATTATTTTAAGGTAATTTTGTGAGAACAGTTTTGCAGCCTGCTCTTCGTTTAACTAAGACTAAAGCTGCTGCTCCAATTCCAGAAGAGGAGATAGGCCATGTTTTCGAGTCTTTCAAAGCTACAGCTGAATTAAATGGTTCTCCTGTTAATACTGTAGCAGTAATGGATGCTTTTGGAAGTTGGCAGTCTTGCCTGTGCAAAACGCTGGACACTGAGACTTCACAACAGAAGGAAAAATCAGAATTTTCCTTTCTGGTAGTAAATGATAAAGATGGAGGCAACCAACTTTTTGTGGATATGGGTAAATATAAACCTGAGTTGTCACTATAATGATGAGCCAAATTCTGCTCTCATCTGTTGTGTAGGAAATATAATAATCAACAGCTGTCTAGAGCAGGGGTTGGAAGCCTTCAGCCTGTAGGTAGGATTTGGATTGTTTCTGACTTGCAGAGCCAGGACAGTAGCAACATCTGGCAGTGGAGGAATTTATGGTGCAGGGTACTATGCAGTGGAATGTGGTGCACAGGGGGACATTAGTAGCAACCAAATTGTAGGCACTGGCCTGTCTTAGACTGAAGTTTATTAATCTGACCCACTGCTGCTCAAAGGTTGCTGATCCCTGGTTTAGTGCAAAAGAAGAATGCTCCTTTCTGGAGTATGTACAAGTCCCAAGAGAAATCCTTCTAATGAATGATTTGGTGTACCTTTAGGGGAGAATTTTGAAGTCAGGTCTACTCTATACCTGAAACTGACTAGCAACTGAAATACTCGTCATCTGGATCAGTTTACTACCATGTTAAAAAGCAAATAAGTTGCTGAATTTTGAACATAAAACTTGTAGTTATTAAAGCAAATAATAGTTCATAGGAAATACTTTTTTTTTTTTTTTAAATAGTCAATGGCAGACAGCAGGGCTATAGGTATATGACCATGACACACAACTACAGAGCTGCACAAGCCAGTTTGAAAACCAGACATAATGGAGCTGTGGCAGCACAGCACTTTATCTGAGTTAATGTACTTATTCTTCCTCAGGTGTAGTTAGCCTGATTTGTCTGCTGTGCTACTGGGACTACACTGCCTTTAGAACTTGAGCTGGCCTGCCAGTTGGCCCAAGGGTCTCTGTACAACATTACATTGTCATAAATTTCATATACATTAGGGCTGGAAGAGACCTCAGGAGATCATCGAGTCCAGCCCCCCACCCCAAGGGCAGGAGGTCAGCTAGGGCCAAAGGATCCCAGCAAGATAGGCATTTAGCTTTTTCTTAAAAGAGTCTAGGGTAGATGCTTGCACCACCTCCAGAGGGAGTCTATTCCAGGCCTTGGGGGCTCAGACAGTAAAGAAGTTCATGTAGATGTACTCCAAGTGCCTGTGTATCAGAAAAATCGCTGCCTTTATCAAAATATAAATTCATATTGTTAGGAAGTAACAACTGATCTGCCATAGCTACTTATAGTATAGATTTTTCTCCATTTTTTTTTAACCTTGTGTTATAACGTTTTGGAAGATTGGCTTATGGGCAAGAGCCTTACAAGCTAGTTCCTGGCTCACACAAGTATGTTTCTGCAGTAATGCAACATTATGGACACTAATCTTTTTATCAGCCAGTGGCATTTTTTACCTTACTATTGTGCTGTTATTCTGTGACAAACAAGTGCAATCAAGTGCCCTACAATGGGACTGTTACCTCATCCATGTTAACAGTAACTGCTACAGCAAACCTAGCATATAAAAATTAAGGAAGGAGAATACAGTTACGTAACACAACAAGTGTTTAACTTCAGATATTAGCTTTAGCCAAATGTGAGAGAGAACATAGTGGTTGTTTTTACCACCATAGCTTTCAAAGTCAATAGTCTAACATCTCTCCCACTACACAGTTGGTCCAGTAAGTGATAATCACCAAAAACCAGGGTCACCTTACCTCTATAAAGTGTCAGAGAGGGAACAGGACTGAACAGGAAGATATTGAAAGATGAGATGAAATGCAGTGACAGAACTGAGGGGGGAAGGGAGGAATATGCTTTTAACTCCACTGCCTGTCAGCACACTGTCCTTTTACTTTCGCACAAAACTGAATTCAGCCACAAATTAAACCTTCCATTTCCCCAGCAATTTCAGAGCAGAACTTGTCAAATCATATCTCAAGACATTTGAGATGAGAACTGCGTTTTTCTGTCTATGGTATTTATGTTGTTTATAGTGTAGATATGATATGATCAGTGATGCACAAGGGACAGGAAACAAAGAGCTAAACTGTGTTCCTGATGCAAAATACTTGTGTTTAAAGGGCAAGGTACTTAATGGTAAACTAGCTTTTATAAAGTAACTATTTAAAACAGAGACTGGGAAACGATTTTTAGAGCTAACTGCGCTAGTTAGTTCTTTTGGTACTAATCTGTTGTTTGGTTTAATAAAATGCCTGGGCAGCAATTTGAGCAACTGGCCTAATACATTGATAATGTGAAAGTATGTATTGCAGCAGAGAAGTAAAGCTTACACTGTGGGTGTTGAAATAGAATCAGCAACACTTTGCTCTGCTCAATTAGACATTCATGTATAGTGTGCAGATGCTAAATATATAGAACCTGGCCAACTCCAAATGTGTTAAGAAACATGTATCTTTTTGTAGGAGTTTATACAAAGAATAGAAACTTTCGGCTGTATAAATCATCAAAATCAGGAAGACGTGTGACTTTGGAAATAGCAGAGGATAACAAATTTGTGCCTAAACTCAAAGAGAATATTTCTATTGAAGAGCAGTATTTCCTTTCCTCTTTGGTCTGCAACATTAGGTAACTTTTTTGTTGCGCTGGAATTTAGCAAACATCTAAAATGTAAAGTTTAATAACATTCAGAGTTGCTGGTGGGCTGATATTCTAAAGACATTAGTACACGATATTCAAAGAAAGCTCAGTTACTAGTTTTAACAGATTAAGTTCTCTGGTTATTTAGATTTCTGACAAAGTTTTTTTTGGACTTACCTTCTAATGTGCAATGAGTTTAGAGAAACCATTTGATAGTTTCTGAAGTGTCCCCTGATTTTAAAAAAAACAAGATAAAAGGTATTGACTTGTCAGGTGAAGACCAGTGCCAAATAAGTGCTATATTTCTACTACTGTACTCTAAATTTAGACGAGATTCTGAAATGGTTCTGTATGTGCAGTTAAAGACACTTGGTCTGGCATCCTGAATATGTAAAGTAAAAGGAATTGTTCTGTACACAAGCTTGAGGATCAGCAATTTTTTCCTTAGTGCCTTTCAGCTAGATATACAAATTGCAATTTATGATCAAAGGAGATCAGGGGATAAAGTCCTTAGACCAGAAGTTCCCAACCACCGGATTGTGGCATGAGCCCCCTGTTTGGACACCTGTTTGTCTGCCTGGGTGAGCAGCTTCCGGGGTCACAGATGAGCTTCCGGGGTTAAAGCCAGGTGGCGGGGGAGCCTGGGGAGGAAGGCAGCTGGCTCCATGTGCCCCGTCCCATTCCTGCCAGGCCACAGTATAAAAAAAAAAAAGGTTGGGAACCACTGCCTTAGACTATAATTTACTGAGCATCTTCTATGACGGGTGGGCAAAATATAGCTGGAAGGCTGGATCCGACCCACCAAGCGCTTTCATCTGGCCCACCGCACCCACCAACAAATTGTGCTTTGCCTAGCCCTTCTGCCCATGAGGGTGGGAGTGAGGTGCCCCACGTGTACACTGCCCCATGTGTACACTGCCCCCCAACACTTCCAATTGTGCCTTGATCCCACCTTCATGGGTGGAAGAGTCCAGCCAGGCCAGCGTGCAGCTTTCACATGGCTGCAGCCCCTGGGGACCTGCTCCACTTCCTGGTCTTCCGCTGGCTCTGGGCAGCAGGTAGAGAAGCAGTGGGGGCAGAGCTGCAGCTGGGCAGGAGCAATGAGTGTGGGGCTGGGGTGGGCAGAGCTTGCCTGGGCAGCATGTGGGAGGTGTGGGGACCATCCCCCTACACTGCGCCCATGGCACGCAGCCCTGACAGGCAGTGGTGGCAGCAGCAGCAGGTGGGGTGCTCAGGGTGCAGGTTGCCTGGTGGAGCACAGCTCCAGCCAGCACTGCACAACACAGTGAGGGGTGCAGCCTCCCCTGGGCCATCTGTATCACTGGCATTCCCCACCACTTGCGCTCAGCCCCCATGCTTGTTGGCCATGGGAAGGAAGCCCCATGCGCTGCAACTAGCTGCCTTCCCTGCCCCTCCAGCGGAAGGTGCCTGGGGCTTGCTTCTTCTGCCTGCAGCTCTGGCAGGGAAGGCAGTTGGCTCCAGCGCATGGGGCTTCCTTCCCGGGCCAGTGGACTGCAGGGACCACGTGTGAGTGGTGGGGAGCACCAGTGATACAGACAGCCCAAGGGAGGACGTGCCCCTCACTGCATTGTGCGGTGCTGGCTGGAGCCATGCCCCGCTAGGCATCAGCACCCTGAACACCTCTGGCTGCTACTGTGCCGTGGCAGGAGTTCGGGGGAGTGGTCCCCACTCTCCCTACCCTGCCTCACACCCTACAGTCCCCCACCATCCCCTATGCCCCCCTCGCACGCACATCTACCATACACACCCACACACTACACAGCAACCCACCCCATCACACACACCCATACCCCACCATACACAAGTCCCCCCAAAATATACAAGACTAAGAATGTATTTTCGAGTTATTATGCAATCACCTCTGTGTACACTACGCAAGCACAAATCATGACAAAAATATTTTTTGTAATAAAATTAAAGTAAGTTATAGTGGGTGTGTGACTTTTAGTGTATGATTTGGTTTGTTTCTGTTTGACAACCCCTCCTTCCAAAAGGAGCATTTCCAGGGGGCAAGGAGAGGGACTTCCAGTGGCAAACATTAGGGGTGGGATTTTGGTCCCAAGGTGGTGACAGTGGGGCGGGGCAACTGTCAAGGGGCAGAACTACCCATGTGACACTCGACAGCTCACCAGAACTCATTAAGCAGCCCTCAACCCACAATAATTGCCTGCCCCATATCTATGAGAAGCTAGGTTGTTGCAACTTATAATTACTGCAGTGGAATCTTATTCTGTCCTCTCTCTTGCTAGGTCTTCAGACACTGAAAAAATTCTAACTTGTGACAACCCAAATGAGAAGAGAGGCGCGTCTATGCACTTAAATAGTAATATTTCTAGGAGCCCTTCAGGTAGTTTAAAAACTTGTTAAATGCATGTTTTTACTGTAGAGAAACAATTTTTCTGAACTATAAATGCCTGAATCATTTTATCATACATAGTACAATGCACCTAACTTCTCTCAACATCCAACTGTTCAAGTGATGATCTACATTTTGGCTGCAATACATGTAGCAGAGAGAAGTAGTTAGCCATATTAATCTTAAATCAGGCAAAGTAGATTTGCACCTTACAGACTAACTAAATCAGAGATGTAAAAACTTTCATAAGCTTGCTTCATCAGATGCCAAGAAGGGACTGCAGGAAACGGAGTTCCTAAATAGAAAATAGTGGTTAGACTGTAAAGGGTAGGGAAGGG